TAACCATAATGTTGTGTATAATAAGTAGTTAATAATAATAATATATAATTAATAATGTAGGTAATGGTATGTTTAATAACACAACATAACCAATATTTATATATAGTAAAAATATTAAGAAAGAAAACTATTCTTAATGTCCGTCATAAGTCAGTAGGATTGGTTGAAATTTAAATACAAGTGAACGTTTTGGACCTGTAGGCTTTTATTTTGAAACACCACCCCTCGCCCGAAAAGCAATAGTGCAGTAACTACAGCTGACTCTTCTCACAAAATAATCTAACTTGGTGTTTAAACATTATTAAACTGTATACTTTGTCATTTTTTTTTTTCTTTCTAATATTTGGATTATTTATAGTTTGTTTTTAAGTAAGTTATTTTAATTAAGTGTTTTTTTTGTGGACGTTGTAATTAGCTTATATTTTATGCTTTTTGTTGCTGTTATGCAGCTGGTGTTTTTGCAATTAATACCTTGTATTCTTTAGCTGCAAAGCCGTAGCCTTAGCATCATAATGCCTGGTGTCATTCTCTTTCAGCTAGCAAGCTTGAGCGTCTAGCATGATTAAGTGCCTTGTCATTCTCTTAGCGGTAGCAAGCAGTTAGCTTATTAATACCTTAAATACTCCGTCTGTAGCTAGCTATGTGCAGGCTCCTTGGTTGTCGTGGCAACCAGGAGGCCACAGCAGCTGTGTGCTCTCTCCTCTGTCTGTCCACTCTAGAGAGACAGAAAATCTCTAAATGACCCCCCACCACCCCACCATTTGCCAGGAACGACGAAAGAAAACAAATAAGACGGTGCAGCATCGTCGTCCTTTTAGCCATAGGTGACTGCCGAGTTCTAGGTGGCTAAAGTATACAAATGTGACTGGTTTGAGAAAGAAGAGGTTCAACGAGCTCTTTTCAAAATGTCTCCTCTCAAATTAACATGGGAGTAATGGGCAATCTGTGAGGGAGAGGGGTTTTCGCTTGGCGGCAGCTGTGCGTTCCGCCACAAACTATTTGTACTGACAGCATTCCGAGCAGTGGTATCCCCAAAACTGCGCCTCCCCCAAGCGAATTTACCTACGTTTTATCTGATAATTATTCTGCTAGAGTGAATTTGTGGCACTTAGAGAGCAAGTTTGACAAATTGGTACTTTTTCCGACAATTTTCTCCTCTCGCTTCATTAAATGAAACGGCATTATGTCTGTGGTCGTCGCGCTGCTGCGCTGTGGAACATCCCCGCGGATCCTGGTTCGCGGCGCGGCGCCCGCCTGCGCTGAATACCACGACCCATCTGCACGTCTTACTTTTCGTTGCAATTGGCCCAGGTTCTTTGGCGACTTCGTCGTATCGGCAAAAGCCGTTCGTGAGCGAACACGCTTTAGCAAATAGTCATAGCAGCTAATGCTCCTCAGCCGAAGGCTGGCACGTTTTGGTACCTTTGGTTTTGTGTATGTGCGCAGAAACTGCGGAGGAGTAGCGCCGCCGAAAAAGCGTACGGAAGAAACTAAT